GAGGAAGGAGAAATCGCCGAAACATCAGCCATCGACCAACAACACCAACAGCAACTACGACAACAATGACAACGATAACGAAGACCTCTACCAACCTCGCATCAGCTAAAGAAGACCAGTTTACAAGATTATATAAATAAATATACCAACTATCTATGCCGAGGTTTATAGAAAGTCGGTCTTTTGAGTTATTAATATCGTCGTCAAAAGAGGGGTTAGGCAAGGCGATGATATCTCGCCAAAATTATTTACCGCCACCCTCGAGAACGCTATGCGAACATTGGAAAGGGATAATATGGGAGTGAAAGTCGATTGTCGGCAGTTACATCATCTTCGCTTTGCTGATGACAACGTCCTTATAACACCAAACATTAGCCAAGCGGAACGTATGCTTGACGACTTCGATAAAGCCTGTGGTCTTCGACTAAATCTCACAAAAACGATGCTAATGAGGAACGGAATGGTTTCGTGTGCCCTATTCGCGCCCAGCGAAACGAATATCTCCGAATGCTCCAGTTATGTCTTTCTAAGTCGGGAAAACAACATGTTGAACTACTTGACTGCAAAGTTGAGCAGAAGGAAACGAGCGGCTTAGACAGCTTTCAAGAGCACCGGGATTGAAGTGAAGAGGACAAAGAAGACCCGGCTCCGTGTCCACCTTTTCGACTCAACGGTACTTCCTGCCCTAACGTATGCGTTAGAAACTTAGTCGCAGCGTAAACAGGATGAAAAATCGCTCAGCGTCATTGAACACGCAGTCGAAAGGACGATGCTAGGAGTATCCCATTTCACACAAGTAAGGAATGGGATCCGATGCTGCGATCTGCGTCAACGATCAAAAATCGAAGATGCCGTTCCGTATTCCGTAACAGTCGAGGATAAGGTGGGCCGAAGACGTAATGCGTATGAATGACAACCGATGGATAAGATCCGCTAGTGACTGGATTCCTCGAGATGTCAAACGTACTGCAGGAAGACCACCGACCCGATGGAGTCCCTAGAGCGAGCAGGATCCACTGGACTACTCTTGCACGCGACAGGGAAACATGGAAGATTTACTGCCGCCCGCTCGAGTCACTCGACGATCTACGGGACTACAGGTGATATAGGTGGTATTTAAATTAGACTAACGTCACTCCGTCCAAAGAACACAATAGCGAAATGTTGCAGGTCCTGCTTAGGAGGAACTGCCAACGACATCAACACCCTCAGCGGGCCACCTACATACTGTACGGGGCACACAACATCAGAAAACACGTCACAAGCTGTCTTGTGGCTGCCAGCAAATACTAATATGATAACCACAACGTTGCTGAGATATTTGCAAAACCATGGACCTCAGGTGTCTATAGTGGGGAACGAACGCGCTATTGTCCTTTCCGGGGAGTAAAGCGTTCACCACCACACCATGCGGGTCCATCGTTTCGCCTGTCTCTCAGCTATTTCTTTGCCACAGCAATCACTGGTCAGCGGGATTGATCTGGGGCGCCCAAATCGGCATAGAACCCAGTTAAGCTGCGGCTGTAGTTGAAATCACAATGTTATACCTTTTTATTTTCTCTGGGTTACTCCCCGGAAAGGACAATAGCGCGTTCGTTCCCCACCATGGACACCTGCGGTCCAGAGTTTTGCAAATATCTCAGCAACGTTGTGGTTGTATTTCGCTTAGTACTCTGCCACGAAATTATAGTAGGCAGAAAATAAAAAGGTATAACATTGTGATTACTACTATGATACTTAACAAATCTTACTGTGTCCTCTCATTATTACCTACTTTACTCAATACCACGTAAATTCACCGCTGATGAATGCATCGACTGCACTAGTGCGTAGAATTACCGCGGCAATTTTGTCGCTTCAGGACCGACAACATTCAAACGTGACCTCTGCTTGGTTTCATTAAACTGTGGCTGTGTTGCCCAAGAAAGTGATTTCTGAATAAAATGATCACTCCACAACATGTTTTACTCAATAGTGGTATGATTTTCCTTAGGAATTTTGTATATCACGAACGAAAACTGAAATGAATACTGTGCGGAAAACATGTATTGAACGAAAGAGTTCCTATTAGGACTACAGGGAAATGCAAAATAGCGCGAAAATAGATCGGAAACTTAGTAAGAAGACCAAGCATCATTTGTTTACAATGTTGTCACTTTTTACTTACTGTCTACTCTTTTTTAATGGCAGGATATTATGTGAAATATAATCATAACGATTCTGAAGTATTTGCAAAACTGTGGAGCGCTGGTGTCTGCGGTGGCGACACAACCTTGTCATTACCCTTTCCGGAGACTATCGCGTTCACCACCATCCCATGTGAGTCTTTTCGTCCTTAGCAGTCCCGTTGGCTGGTGACTGTTGATTGCACCCACCCATAGGTCAGTAACACGCGAAGCATACGACCCGCATGGTGTGCTGGTGAACATGTTAGCCCCCGGAAAGGGTAATAACAACGTTTGATCCCATCCGCAGACACCAGCGGTCCGATGTTTTGCAAATACCCAAGCATCATTGATTACGATTATTTATTTAGTTAAGACCTGTAAGCTATTAAATTCCTGAAGAGAAACTACGAATGGTTAAGTCATACTGAAATTAAAATATTCGGATTTTTGATAAGAAATGAGGAAATTATCAAAAAACTAGAAGCCAAGAACAAATATTGTGAACGAGGACATGTGAGAAGAAGGTATTCAAGCTATAGAGCCATTTTGCACTACGGTGCATTCTTTAAATGAACGGTATCGATTTATGGTAAAAAGACAAAGCATTAAGTTCTCGGCGTTGATCAATCCCAAAGGGTGGGTACCATGCATTCGACTTCATTAAACATCGTTAGAGGCGACCGAATGCATATCTGACCTTTAGAATAACCCGTGGTGGCCTACCGATGTATCGAGCTAGTGGTGCTATCCTTTCAGAGAAGTCTGGCACCAATTTGCCGACCCCGGAAGGATGGATGGCTACTTGGTGGGCCTTAACGCGACGATCGATTCCACGTGCGCATCGCAGTGGCACCTCCAACTACTACGCCACTATGCACGATTTGTGAAATAGTTTCGAAATGGCACTAACCGATAGAACTAGCTGAGAAACGGGCGAAGCGAAGGACCCGCGTGGTGTGGTGGGGAACGCGTTACTCCCCGGAAAGGACAATAGCGCGCTCGTTCCCCACCGCATACACCTGCGCTCCGGAGTTTTGCAAATATTTCAGCACCATTGAAGTTATATTTCACAAGGTATACCCTGCCGTTAAAAAGAGTAGGCAGTGAATAATAAGTTAAAATTGTGGTTATCTCAGCATCATTGAGGTTTCGAAATAGCCAATTTTGGAGCACTTCTAATTGTGGCTCGTTAATACTCTTTAGTACCGTTCCTTGTTTGAAAAAATTTTATCACCAAAATTCAGGTAGCAATATTTTAACCTCCTTACAGCCATGTTATAGTGTCATTCAAAATGATATATTTCAGTATAAAAGGGTATAAAAGTCGAGGGGATGGCGTATCCCTCGGCTATAGCTCAACGCCGAGAGCTTTATTCTTTTCATCATTTTATGGACGGATGCGAGTAACGTACAACTGTATGGAGCCAGTGCTGCTATCCTCCTAGACAAGTCTGGTACCAATTTGCCGACACCAGAGGGATGGAAGGCTTGGTAGGTCATGTGCGCGGAGATCGATTACATGTGTCTGCTGCTGCAAGGCCCCTCCGACCACTGCGCCACACTCGCACTATTATGAGTTAATTTACCACATATTTCCCATTAATGTTATTATTTTAGGTTTTACGAGGCATTCACAATCACAAGGAAATGTGTAGCAGGATGGGGAGATGCCGTTCACACATTTACTTCGCTGTCGACTTCACACGTAGACCAACAATCTCTGCGACACCTCTGGAATTTCTACAACCATCGGAACAGGATTTGCCATCCAAGAAAGACGCAGTTATGTATGACATCGTTTCATTGAAGCAGTGTTTCCGAAGCACCTTTAAATGTAGACAGATTTTAGTGCCTGACTACAGGATAGACTCGCAAGGAAATGCGCACGATCTCGTCGCAATCACGTGCGAAACATAGGTAACGATTGCTTCCACACCCGAATCATTCGGCGCCCCAAGCGGTACCTCGGGTTGGCCTAAAGACGACTATTTATGGCTTTACATTCCTGTTAACATGTTATTTTCAGTTCATACTGTGTGTAAACGCGTTTGGGCCTGAGTAAACATGATAAAAAAAATAACATGATAAAGAGGGATGAGCCGTATAAAAGCCAATACTGGCGCCTTAATCTTATCTTGTTTGTTGTATTCGTGTAGATCTTTGGGTTTCTTAATTTCATTTTACTCAATCTTTTTATAGATCCGTAGATTCTTATCCTGTTACACTCACCTTAACCTTCTCTTGCTTGTGTTATTGTGGGCCTTAAGATCCCTCGATCTCATTTTCCTACTGTTTTGCTAGACCTCCAGATTACTTGACCTTGCTCTGCTTGTTTTTCTTTTGTGTATCCGTAGATTTCTTACCCTTATTCTAATCGTCATGTTTTCACGGGTCTCTAGACGTAGTTTTACCTTGCTTGCTGTTCCCATGGATCTCCTCAGATTTCGCAATCGGACCTTGCCTGTTGTGTTTACAGCCTGGTTTTGCCTGTTGTGTTGATAACTCCCTCAATGTCATCCTGTTAGGTTTCTAAATCTTAGTCTGCTTGTTGCATCCTCGTAGATACTTACAATATTCTTATAGAAGAGGAATGTTCTAGAAGGAAGACATCTGGAACGAAATGATTCTTAGCTATTTTGAAATTCTTTACCTGTGTGTATCAATTTCCTACAGTCTGTTTGTTATGATCACTCCTCTTCATTCTTCATGCTCCTCATTAATTCCTCAATTTTTGAAGCATCATTGAATTTCTTTCGAAGCTAACACTGTTCTCTTAAGCGGCAACATCTACCTAAGTAACTTACAGGTTATCTAGATAAAATTGATTTAAGTATGACTGGAGATACAGATTCTGTCGATGTTAATGACAATAAGATCAAGAGAAATTCTATGGGTTCGTATACTAAAATGGAGCAGGTAATGTTTCAGTAAATGTTTTGTTGTTGTTGAGGTAGTTGTGAAAATTTGATACAATATAAATGTTATTAAAGTAAGAGACAGTTAGGAATCCATGATGGGAAGTGGGGGGACTGTGATGTTCTCCGTTAAGTACTTTTTGGCAACAAATTTTCCTGTTCAGTACGATCTACATCAGAGTAGAAGTAGTGTGGTCATCTGTGACAACCTTGAGGTACTTGCAGTACTTGTTTGTAGGACCTTCGGTATCCTACCTTTGACAATGAACACCTTTTCTTTCATTATCTCTTTTTAATAGTACCTGGGATACAGTAGTAAGTGTCCAATCGATACATCGGATCAGGTAATGTTTCAGTTCTGTAACGGATCTTAATAGCTTTGATTGTACCGACGACTATCGTCACCGCAGATCGTAACGATTTTAGTAGAGCTGCTCCTTTCTTAAGCCATTGTACATAACATAAGTAATCGGTAATTTAGTTCGAAAGGTACTTAGGGCTGTTCTTAATGGCCAATAAAGGGCTGGCACCTTGTTGCGGACGAACTGGCACACCTTGTTTTGGGTCTAATGGTAGATCACCTGGGCTTAAAATGTGCTATGCTTGCTTCTTATTCCATGGATGTCATATTTATTGATTGCGACTGGCGAGGTAAAAAGGGATACTTTTAACATGTAGCGAAAAACTCGACTTCAATGATGTCGTCGTGATTGGGTGGGATTCAACCACTCACCAGAATAACTAAACAACCCAAGCAAGGCAGATATTGGGCAGCTTGTCACTTTTAATTAAGTTTATTAAAGATTATAGGAGATTTAGATGTTGTTATAATTTAGGGCGAAGATCACAATGTTGGAAGTACCAGTGAGAGTGAGCGAGGAGCATGTGCAACCTTTTTCGGATCTAGTTCTACTGAAATAAGTGGCCGAGATGTGATGAAAGAAGAGGTCTGTGCTTGGCTGCTTTTTTTTCGCTATAATTGTCACCACTTCACATTCGTTTTTCTATGCAGTTTTATGTTCTGGTTATGCCCATTTATGCCATATTCTACTTATTACGGCTGTGCTTAAGTTTAGTAGTTTAGTAGTTTAGCACTAGTTTAGTAGCAGCTTACTTGCTTCGTTACTTGGACACTCGGCTGGCTCGTCCTCACTGGTTGTGCGGGTCCCAGCACAATCACCATTTATCGGAGATTTGCTAGTTAAGCCATTGTGGTTCCTTGGAATCCCGGGGTCAGCCAAGCCAAACTCTGCCCCAGGTCGTTACCACCACAGACAGTCGTCGCCTTTGTGGATCAGAGGGAGAGTTGCCACCATGCGACTAGTTTGATACTAGGACGATAGTAGATCTTGGTATTGGCTCACTCTTAGCTGGACTTCCTGATGGAAATGTTGAATTTCTTAGCTTGGGTGATCCTGCTAGGAGGGTGAATCGCCCGCTGTACATAGCAGCTGGACACGCTGCAGCACCTAGCCGCGATGAGGCGGTGAGCCACTGGGAGGCTTGTAGCAGCTAATCTAATACTATTGCTCTGCTGTTTTTACTAAGGATGTTGATTTATTTGAAACACGTTTTTATCAATGCAGTACTGTTCCTCATGAGAGACGCAAAACTTTGGAAGCTACGGGTCAGACGTCTCGAGTTTTGAGGTGGATGTTATGTTCCCCTTGAGACTTTTGCGTTTAATGTATGGAACTGTTCTTAAACAAATAGTTACTGGTCAGTTTTTTCCAGATTTCAAGCGCCTTTTCCTTGTAGGAATCGTGGGACCCTGCTGAAGCAGAAAATGCTTGGGGAAATTCTGCTACACTCTACTATATTCCTAATCCGAACACGAACGATCAGGTTTGACACCGTTTCAGTTCAGTGCTTTTTTCTAAACCCTCTTTCCTTTTGTCGTGTACTGCTTTGTTGTCTTCCCTAGCAACTACTCGTTTTCTTGTCGTGTGTTTTGAATTAGCGCCTATTTAGAGAAAAAAAAAACATACTTCCCGAAGTTGTTTCAGCGGTTTTTTTGAAATCTGAATATCCTTCTTGGGTTCCAAGCCCCTCATGGGACTAATCATCACTTTTGGAAAGCGCATGATATAGGACCTATGAGGCAGTTACTCGTATGATTCCTTGAATGGGGAGATTCTCGACAATCGTGGAATATGTAAACTAATAAGAATATGAGCTTGAAGTTTATAATAATTTAAATGCTTTCGTCTGAAGCACTTCAAGAAACTCTAAGTCACTGTAACAAATCCACATTAAGCTACTTTATTAGGCTACTGATTAAGCCTTACCAAGCTGCTACTTCATATAATTCAAATGGAATCCATATAGTAAGATGCTTAACTTGAAATTTTAACCGCTAGATTTAGCATTCCATGTTCGAAGTGGGAGTAGACAGTAATCCAGAAACACCGGAGACGTCCAGTTTACTGAAAAGGACCAAGAAATCGACTGCACAATGTCCTAAGAATAGAAAGAAGGCAGGAGTTGGGAGTCGTTCGAAGCGATCATCAGCGCAAAAGGTTTCAGATGTTCAATTCCATTACCTAAATATTGTTCTTATTGTCTTTTGGTCTTATGTTTATGCGATCACAAGAAGTAGTTTTATGTCACGTCCTCAAGTGGTCGACGGTCACGAAAGCGCAAGTGTTCGGATGAGGATTTCACTTCCGCTGCCAATATTCACTTGGTCGGTTGCTCTTTTGCTCGTGAACTGTTTGTATCAAGGAAACTAGTTGTGTTTTTTATCAGATTTTGGAAGTGGATATTTGTAGCATTAATCTCATTTCACTCAGCTTCCTACTCGGTCCTCGGTTCGGCTTAGGAAGAAACGAGCTGAGCAAGTGGACTATTCGCATTTGCCTCCAAAATATGTCGGACTAACTTCTCCACGTATGAGATACTGTGGTTATGTTTTGAGCGAACTGATGAGTTCAAAACACCAGGTAGTTTTTTGAAATCATATATTTCAAGATTTGAGGTCAGAATGTTGCCGTTCTATGGTAATAAATATTAAGTGTTAACAACATTTATTAAGAAACATAGGACAATACCAAGCCTTTTTTGTTTTATCTTCCTTATTAGGATGACTGCATTTGCCGATTGACTAGAGTTCCTTTCCTTTCTTTTCATTATGTCGTACTTTCCCTACCAGCTGCTGATTATACCAGTTCTTCAGCCGATCAACTGCTTTGTTGACCTGGAGACGGTGAGAAGGAAGCTATTCTATAAGCAATATGCAAACGCAGAAGAATTCGCAGATGAAATTAGAACGGTTGGTTTCAGTAGCTTAATCGATTTTCGTTGATGTGTTCTGTTTTTCCAAACGAAATTGGTTGTATGTGATTCATACTTAGAGCTTCGAAGGAATCAAGTTATTTTACTTGCGGTCGCTCCACCAGATTAGAGCAATTAAACGTGAAGTCTGTGTGTACATGTCAGCTTAATACTAGTAGTAGGAGAGCTTTTTCAATCACATCTTCAAACAACAAGTATTTCAGCTATGCGTGAATCCTATCAACCCTACACAGGCCGACGAATGCCGTTCTCTTCTGGAAGTTTTCGAAGAACACGTTTGTTTCCAAATCAGTTTGGTTAACTTTTGTTTGCTGCAAAGTTGGGTCGATTCCCTTTTCCAAACAAAATGCTTTATGAGAGGCAGGCGAAACAAAGGACTAGCATGGTATGGTGGTGAACGTGTTATCCTTTGGAAAGGGTAATAGCACGTTCGTTCCCCACTGCAGACACCTGGGGTCTGGAGCTTTGCAAATATCTCAACATCGCTATGATTATAACTGCAGCTTCAGCTTAACTGGGTTCGTTGCCGATTTGGGCTCCCCAGATCATTCCCGCTGACGGGTGATTGCTGAGGGTAAAAGATCGATAGAACTAGCTGAGAGACAGGCGAAACGAAGGAACCGCATGTTGTGGTGGGGAACGCGTTACTACCCGGAAAGGACGATAGCGCGTTCTTTCCCCACCGCAGACACCTGCGGTCAGGAGTTTTGTCAATATCTCAGCATCCCAAGATCGACTTTCTACTAGCCTCGGCATTGGATTATAAATCTGTTATTTTTTTTACAGTAATTAACATCGTTGTGGTTACAATGTTTCTATTTTTACTGTTTCGATGCTAGAATAAACGCAAGGTGAGTTACGACGTAAGGTAATTTCGTCGTTGCTATCGGATTGCCTTTGGCCGCATGATCACTAGGCGAACTATGAGGCTAAGAATGCTATTATTATTCTTGTACGTCACCTTCTAGAATTTTTCAGTAGCCTTCGTGTTGACGTTATCGCTTTTAGAAGCTCTATGCCCACATTCACTTCTCAGACCTCATTGTGGATGGTCATCTTCAACTCCGGACAGAAAAAAAATTTCTTTAGGCCAATCAATGTGAGATTAAGTCTATGCTCCTCTTTAAAATGTCAGATATAGCTGTTCTTCCACAATGATCCCGAGATATTTGCAAAACTCCGGACCGCACTTGTCTGTGGTGGAGAACGAACTCAATATTACCCTTTCAAGGGGTTAACGCGTTCACCACCATACCTTGCGGGTTCTTCGTTTTGTTTTTCTGTCAACCAAATAGCTGTTCTTCGTCTAAGGTTTCATTAACACCAGTAAGCTTATCGCTTATGAGAGCTTTTCCGTTAACTAAGGTAGATGGCTATTTGGAGAATTGTTTTGACAAGAGGATCATTGCTGCAGAAAAGTGGCTTTCATTTGTTCTAGTGATTGTGGACCCAGAAATTTTAAATATAACTTGTGAGCTCTAGCAGCTGATATCCTACGACCTATACTCGGTTGTGCTGTCAGTCAGTGTGACTCGACAGTCAGAGCTGTCGCGACACAACGTATTTCCCAAAAGAGATTGATCACAGCTTATGTTTAAGGACTCTTCTATCTCAAAAATGGCTTCCATTAGTTGTCTCAATATAGCAACTGTGTGATGACTAGAGGTGATTAGATGGGTGGATAGTTTCTTCTCCTTTGTAAATAATAAATAGTAAAAATAGTATATATTGATTGAGCATGGTTTTTCCTGAAATCCCAAAATACTCGCAGTGGAAGGTTCCCAGTTCTCCACCGTGACCATTGGCAGCCTTTGTGAATCAGGTTTGTTATGTTATACTAGGAGTGATCAAAGATATGTTGACCGAACGAACAGAGATGGAGCGAACTGGTGTAAATTCTTAGATATCGAAAGTATAGAATGGCATCGTATTTAGTGAATCCATCAACATATTTCGGATTCGGGAGTGAAAGGACTTCTCGGTATTCATGAATTTACAGTGGGCCTTATCGTGCTTGAGTGTATCAACTGTTGCTTGTTCAATATGGCATTGAGTGAATATGGCATTTGATGGTTCCTAAGCAGGAGGTAACGATATCCTAAGAAGTAGATTACTAATTTGCCTCTATGTGCTTTAGATTGTTCAGCTTAGACGAGGTAGCGAGTGTTCAAACGTACAGAAGGGCACTACCGATTGAAACTTCATTCGATTGTTGCTTCACTACATTCGATTTGATTCGATGCCACTACGAAGACCCACATCACAAGGACGAACATATGTGTACAATCGGCACGAAATCATCGTGGCTCCGAAAAAGGCGAAGCCGCCGAGACACTAACCGACAGAGGTTTTGTATCATCCCGTTAGGCTGAACGATTTAAACAAATGAATCGTCTATTCATGCCGAGGCTAAGCGAAATTCGGCCTAGGGAAGGATCATGTTATCTCAGTTGTTGAAATGAAGTAGTTGGATTCGTTTATTAAGCAGTAAAATTGACAGAGAAGGCCTAGGATTACTCGGTCTTCGTTGAGCTATTTTGCAAAACACTATACACTGCACTGCTTTATAACTGACAATTGTATGAGGGATATCTATAATTTCTTTTTATAGTGGCTTCACTTGCCACCCGAATCTGTAGAGCCCATTTCTATTCCTTCCGAAGAGATTGCTGGCATGGATGAAGGCGACATAACCCTATACGTCCTTGAGAAAGCTGTATGTGTGGCTTCAGTGTAACTCTATGTTTTTGTTCAGAAAGAGTCGTTTTCCAACTTATTACGTTATAGACTCAGAAGGCGATGGAACAGTCACATTCGCTGTTAGGGGAAGTCTCACTACAACAGCAGCATCTAATTGAAATGAGGGATATGCGAGAAAACGCAAAATGTAATAAGAAGATCCCACCTCCAGTCTTACCGGCAGTTTGGGGCTCTGTATCTGCTACCTTAGCAAAATGTGGTTCCGTTCCAATTTATGAGCGTTCCAATTTGGAGAGGATAGATGAAGTAAGTTTTAATGCATGTCCATTACATTTTCCAAACATTTAAGTGGATACTTAATGAACCATTCTTGTTAAGCCAATGCGAAGTTATTTTCACTTCTTCTTGAATCGTGATAGCTGACGTTTCGGCGACGTCACCTTCGTCAAACCTCGGCATATTACAATTTATACATATTCTGTTAATCAGTTAGTGTTCCTTTTATTACTTGGATGTTGGGGGCCCGTCTTTAATGGCTGTGCCAGCCCAACATAACTTCTTTTCGTTCCTCTCTCGAAGAGTCATCACGCATGGCGATGGTATGTTTCGAACATGATGACTTCCGCGAAATCCGTCGCGAATTTCCGAATTTGATTGAAGCTGCGAATGGAGATGGCTGACGGTAGCCAAGAACATGTTTGGGAGAGAGCTTGTCCAAGAGCACGCTTGAATTCATTTTCTTGGAGGGTGGTCCACAGTTTTTTCAGCCATCTGTCGTCATCTGCTCTTGTTGTTTGACCGGCCCATCTATTTTTCGCTGTTGATACATATTCTCCTGGGTCCCGAAGGTAAGATAAGTTTTAAAATTAGAGTTGCGTATTCAGGCTAGACGTTGTGAGTGCCGGTTAAACTTAAGAAGAGGTTGTTCAGGCGCTCCGTGAGCGATGCGCTCATTTCTTGACGTGGTTGAAGTATCAGCCAACGTTTCTCCTGCATAACACAGCGCTAAGAGGACTGTTGAATCGTCCGTAAGTTGGTCGGTGGCTACTTTAAAAGGCCAGGGTACTGCCCACACTAATCTCCTTGTTTTGTGTAATTCCTCCATGTTGTTCTTCATGTTTAGTGGACGTCCAGGTTACATATACGAGATGCTCTGTTTAATCGGAGAACTACCCCGTTCGATTTGTTCGCCATCGCAATACGGTTTCTTCATGAACTGGACTTTCGTCCTACTTGTGTACACTCCTTTCTTTTTTCACGCTTCGTTAAGTTCACTGAGCATCGTTCCACATTCATTAGTACTTCTCGAAAAGATGATAGTGTCATCTGCCAAACGAAGATTTGATAAGAATTTTCTATCAATATGCTTGCATTTCTCGTCCTGATAGGGCGACTTCACTGTCCACTGCAGTGCAGCAGTAAACGGTTTTGGCAACATTATGTGGCCTTATCGAACTCCTTTTTTCCATGATTATAGTGGAAGGTCGATGAGAAGCTGTATTTCTGTTCTGCAGTTCCGATAACAGTCAAATAGAGTCCTTACGCAAGACGGCTGAACTCTTCGGTCGACGAGCGTTGATAGGATTGCACTCGTTTCAACGTTATCACAAGCTTTCTCGTAATGGATAAAGGTTAGGACAAAGGGCAGATGGTACTCCGGACAGATATCTATGACTCGTGGCACGGTTTAGGTCTGGTCCACGCAACACAGAATTCCTGTCAGAATCCTGCTTGCTTCAAGGGTTGCCCATCACCCAAAGTCATCGATGTGCCAAAAAGGATAACGTTCGTAAACAACTTGTAGAAGGCACTCAACAAACATAACGCGGTATTCTTTCTTAGATGAACTGACACGACGTTGATAATGATATTTATTCATTTTCGGCTAACGTTTCGACGTCTTCGTCTTCCTCAGAACCGATGATCCGAGTCGATGGTCCATGCTTGCTGTTCGTCTCGACGTTGCAGCTTCGCCTTCGTGTCGAGTCAGGTGTTCCTCAGTGAGCCATCTTCTCGAATGAGGCATCCTCACTCAGTGATACCCTTTTATACACGATGCTGATGGTTGATATAATGATAATGTCCGGTGGTAGCAACTTGTATTTCTTCCGGACATACATCATTGTGCACATCGTGCAGAAGTCGGTGTTTTTATCAGCTAGCACAAAGCGTAGTAATATTTCGAAACCGGCTTTCCTTGAACCTCGGTATCAATAATCAATATGTATTCTTTCTTTGATGAGCTGACACGAGGTTGATAATGATATTTATTCATTTTCGGCTAACGTTTCGGCGTCTTCGTCTTCCTCAGAACCGATGATCCGAGTCGATGGTCCATGCTTGCTGTTCGTCTCGACGTTGCAGCTTCGCCTTCGTGTCGAGTCAGGTCTTCCTCAGTGAGTCATCTTCTCGAATGAATGAAAAATGAATAAATATCATTATCAACCTCGTGTCAGCTCATCAAAGAAAGAATACATATTGATTATTGATACCGAGGTTCAAGGAAAGTCGGTTTCGAAATAAAACACAGTATTTACTAAGACCCCCTCGGTTACCTTTTTTGGATAGAATGTTCGTGCGTGAGGTCTTTCAATAGTCTGGGATTTTCACTTTCTGAAAATTTCATGTGGCTTGTGAGAAGTACATGTAGTTTATGGCCTCCAGATCTAGGGAAATCGGCGGTGATATTATCGCTTCCTAGAGCTGTGCTTCTCTTCATGTTTTCTATCACAACTCGAGCTTCAGAGTGAGAATCCCGCGTGGTTTTTCACCAGCAGAGATTTCGAGGTCCGAGAGAGGGGTTGTGCCATGGAAAGATTAGTATAGAACTTTTTCCCTATGAAATATCATGACGGGTTGTACCGATTAGATTTCATTTTCCTTCATCAGGACATAGCCGAGCGTTATAGTTGCAAGGATTCCGATGGCATTTCTTCGGACTAGATCGTTTTTGAGCTGATTCCAATAACTCTTGCTGCCAATACCGATCTAAATCCTCTTGCAAAGGTTCTCTACTGCTTACATTTTTTATGTCAGACATGTTGCAGTAGAATCACGTTTCGGTTTCGTTTTCTTTCCGAGCAACTTCTCGGCGGTAATAGGAATGCGTTCTTTTCTTTTCTTTTCTAGAAATTTCTAAGAATAGGAATTTTTTGTTTGAGGAACAGAGGCGCGTGCAGCACAACTTCTAAGTTCATCGACAAGCCTCTCGTAGGCCCTAGGTCCGATTTTCCTTTGACAATTATATAGGGAGAGAATTTCCTTGAGAGTATCCTCGACATACGTATATTATCTTTTTCATGAACGATGATAGGATTTCTTCCGCAGCATATAGCTGAATTGAATCTTCGCAAAGAGAAGGCGGTGATCAGTTCCTGTACCGAATACAGGTACCACCGTGTGAGTCGCGCCGTTACTAGACAGCCATGTACATGGACAATTTTCTCTGCTGTTTAAAAACGAATTCCCACGGAAGAGACGGCTGTAGACAGGAGTCCTATAAGACGGTTTCCATTCTCATTTCGTTCTTCTATTCCGAATTTCTCAATCCTTTCTTCATTTTCATTGGTCCTTCGTAATCTATCATTGAAGTCTTCAACAACGAATTTTTAGTTCTTCTCGTTGCAGATTACTTCGTCCAGCTGGTTGTAAAACGTGTCCAGTTCGCTCTCTTCAGCTGTACAAGTTCTTCAGTAGCAGTTGATGATACCGCCTTTCTTTTGACGCGTAAGTTAGAGAGGTGACTGGATGGGAAAGGGATGGGTTCACGAGAAAACCAATGCTTCCGAGATTTCGTAACAGAAATTTCCCTTCGCTGATGACAAGGGATTCGTCATCTAATTGGCGTATGTCGGTTTTCCTACTTTTCATGTCTTGTAGGGCGACCACACGAAATTTGATGCGATTGGTGGCCTCAAGAATAGCGTAAAGGTAGGCGCCTGAAGAAACTATTCTGCCGTTATAGGTACAAAACAAGAAGCAGTCTCCATGGCGTGTCGTGAACGTGGTCGTTTTGTTCGTTTCCAATGACGTCCTGTGCAACCGAAGACTTGAATATATCCCATCGGGTGTCTCAGTGCCTAACGTCGTAGACGTCAACATCCATTATGCGGAGTAATTAGGCGAAAATTCTGCTGCTTTCCATTGCGGTTCCCTGGAGTTCCAAGGTTAGCCTAGCTAACGCCTTTTTCAGGTTCTCACCCATCCCAGGTGGTCACCACCCTTGTTAAAAAAGGGGGATTTGTCTCCATGCGACTGATTTGATACGAGGGAGGTGGTGATTCATGTTGTTGATTTATTCATAGATGGGCTTACCGGATAGAAATGTTAGACTCTTTCTCAGTTTGGCAGACACTGCTGGAAGGATGAACCCTCGGCTGTACATCGAAAACATCTCCCAGCCATGATAAGGTGGTAAGCCTGTGGAAGGTATTAATATCCCCTAGTTCTAATAAACATTTCATAAATCAAATCATTTATCTGCCAATTAGAAGGATGTCACAGTTTTCTTCTCTGTCTCCCTCCTAGAAAAAAGAGTAAGATCACTCGCATATGGTTCACACAAGATGAACCTCGTTCCGAATTATTCTGAGATAAGGCGGTAAGTCAGTTGTGATTGCGAGGCAATCGTCCTTTCTCTTCGTTCGTGGATTGTTGAAATCTATGCAAAAAAGAAAGTTTTGCGCTGTCGTTTTTTATGCATGTGCAAAGATTGGGATTGCTACTTCCAAATAATAATCGTTGTGTTTTTGTACTCTATATTTACAAGGGCGCGTGTGACGCAGTGGTCGGAGGCACCTTGCAACACACGCGTGCAATCGAACCCAACGCTCATGGCCCAGCAAGCCTTCCATTTCTCCGGGGTCGGCAAACTGGTACCAGACTTGTCTGGGAGGATAGCAGCACTGGCTCGATACATCGGTAGGCCACAGCGAGTCATTGTAAAGGCCAGATATGCATTCAGTCACCTCCAAACAATGCTTAATAAGGTGGAATGCATGGTGCATACGTCAGGGATTGTTCAACACCGAGAGTTTTGTCCTTTTATCGTTTACATGTACATGGAAGTGTTCGGGCTTTCATTTTTCTATCTAGATGTTCTTTTATACAGGCACAAAGTAGTCTACTCGTTCCGTCTGTACATTCATCATCCCGTGTTTTATAAGAGGGTAGGTATATTGTACCTGAACACCTCCAAACTCCATCTTTCCCGTAAGGGCCAATTACGCAATCCGCTCACTACTCTACATTTAAGGTTGCATAGGGGGTCCCGAGCTAGTTGACCACATAAATTGCTCAGTGGAAGTTCTGTAACTGCATAAAACTCTCCAGACCATTGTTTCTTAAATACCTCTTAATAACGGGGTAAACCTTAACCTTAATAAAGGTACATAGGGCGGGTTGTCGTTGGCTCAGTCCTGCGCACCGGGATCACCAATCCTTCCATTCCTCCTGCGTCGGCACGTAACTACCAGATCTTTCTGGGAGGATAGCAGCATTGACTGGGACTGGCTGACTGGTGACTACATCGGGAGACCACTGCGAGTTATTGTCTAGGCCAGATATGTATTCACTCACCTCTAACAATGCTTGACAAAGTAAGATGCATGGGGCATCGCTCAGGGATTGATCAAAGTCGGGGCCTTTATCACTTATCCTTTTTTATCTCCTTAATTTTTTTTTATTTCTCTACAACTCGTCTTCACATCTAATTTGCGATTTTTAGCAATCCTTGAAAACGATTCTTTTCCGCGTATCCATGATCCACGAAGGTCATCGAACTTTTCGCGTCTAAGTTCAGCTGGTGCTTGAAGGTTATAGTATTCTTTATGAATGTCGTTGAATGGTGGTCAAGTCGACTCTTCCTGGAGTTCTAAGAAGGCCGATCTAGAGTGTTCCACTTGGATTACTGATAGTGAACTTCTCCGAGATATGTCTGGAACCAATTTCCTAACCCCATTGGGATGAGAGGTTTAATGAGCCCGGCGTAAGTCTAACCAGAGCTGTGCTCGTGATGAATGTCACCACTACCACTGTGCCACCCGGCACCTTTATCCTCTTAGTAGCGGTGTTTATTTTGTTTCTTATGAAAGTTGGCTTAAAAGGGATCTCCACATCACGGTGTGAAATAGCATTAGTTTTCTTTTAACTTCTGAATTAAAGAGTGTGGAAGGTAATGTGTCAATGTTTTCAAATTAAGGTTACTGTAAAGGGTGAAGGATCCAATGACTGTGAGGAATCAGCTAACGTATTACAAATAAAGGCGGAAGTCGATTGTAATGAAGGCGCTAACTTGGAGGACAGTACATTGAATACAGATCAGGACGGTACGAATGAGCCATTAACGCACATGGAACAAGTGCAGCTTGCTGAAGATCTCAGGTTGCTCGATGACAATGAAATGGGCGGTGTTGTCGACATAATTTTAGAGCATAACCCTCTAACGGTTGATGAAGTGAGATCTGTTCCTGGACTTTGTGCTCTTGCTTTCCTTTACAGTTTCCGAAAAAAGTCATTACAGATTCCAACTGACGACGAACCCGAAGCTATTATTCAATTCAAAGATCTCAAACCAATAACGTTGCAAAAGGTTGCAACATATGTGCAATCGGTGCTAACCAGTACTTCAAACTGTGGTACGTTTTTCAGCATATTGGAGTTGTTGCACATATTAAGCTACTTCCGATTCTCGGTAGTTCTTTACTGATATGGACTAAATATAATCACTAGTTCTTTATGCGCCAGTCAGTGATATGCTTTCGAAATTCGTGCAGAGCAGCGAACCGTATAAAGCGAATGCGAAGAATCCCATGTAGAAACGTGTTTTTGAAACTTCTGAGTCTCTGAGTGTTAAGTTTCTTTCAACATTTGTTATTCTATTGTAACGCGTATGTTCTTTTTAACCTCAACATTCTATTAATTACTTCGAGCCTTAGGACACCTGTAGCAAAGTGGTCGGAGGCACCCTGAATTACACCCAGGATCGATGCCTGTTCCCGAGGCTCACCAAGCCTTTCATCTCTCCAAGATCTGCAGGTTGGCACCAGGCTTGTCTCGGAGGATAGCAGCATTGGCTCGAAACATCAATAGGCGACCGTAAGTCCAATGCTTGGCGCATCACTCAGGAATTGATTAACCCAAGACCCTTTTTATTGTTTACTTCGAGCCTGTCGTTCTTACGAATGCTAGGCAGTAAATCATCTTCAATTTCACAGCTTTTAGATGCTTTTGTTTTAATGTTTACTACTTTTTTATTGAAATTCTGAAATAAACTGCATCGACTCAGTTATTTTATCAAGAACTGACCAAGAGCATGTGTTAGTAGCCTTTAGCCACGCTTTCGTTCTACCATTAAAGTATCCACTGCTGTTGTCTAAGATGTAACGAATTTCCAAAGCACGTTACATTAATTGATAGCTAAAACGGTTCATTCATTCATATGATACTTTTTCAGAAGGGAATTGAGATTTCTTTTTTATAAAGCATTGTAGGGGCGCGTATGGCGCAGAGGTTGGAGGCGCACTGCAATATACACATAAGATCGCTTCCCGCGCCCAAGGCTCACCAAGCCTTCCATCCCTCCGGGTCGGCAAATTGCTACCAGACCGGTCTGCGAGGGTTGCAGCACTAGCTCGACACATCGGTATGCCACCGTGACTCCTTGTAAAGGCCAGATATGCATTTGGTCACCCCCAACGATGCTTAGTGAAGTAGAATGAATGGTGGTTCCTTTCAGGGTTTGTAAACGCCAAGAGCTTTTTCCTTTTATCTTTTTGTCTTTTATGAAGGATTGTGTTAAAGCCTTCGTAATCGTCAAAGATAAATTTCAGCCAATAATGGTTCTAAAAATATAAAGGGCGGATCGAAGAAGAGTGGTGGCCGTAAGAAGTGTGAACCAACCAGGAAGAGAAGTTTGTTGGCTGTTCCGGTTTTTGTTGTTTTTTCGTTCTTTTTTCCTTTAGCATTTCATAACTCTGTTGCATTTGTTACATGAAGTTCTTCAAAGAGCACAACGTGATTCAGTCAAGTTGAAGTTATGCTGTGTTTTATGAGTGTCATATCTTCAACCTTATTAGAGATTAAAGGTAATATGGTTTATTGTGTTAAAAAAAACACACTTTGCAGCCGACATTGTGGATATTGAAGCACGTAAGCGTGAACTCATGGATGAAATAAAGAAACTGGGTGGAACAGGGATAACAAAGCCGATGAAAAAACGTGGTATGTAGTAATCACTCTTTTATTTACTGTCTATTCTCTTTTTATGAAAGGACATGATGTGAAATACAACCACAATGACGCTGAGATATTTGTAGAACTTCGGACCGCAGTTGTCTGCGGCGGGGATCGAACCTCGTTATTGCCCTTTCCGGGGGCCGACGTGTTCACTACAACACAGTGCGTGTCATTCGTTTCGCCTTCCTCTCAGCCGTGTTTTATAGGGGCTATCAGCAATCACCTGTCAACGGCATTGATTTGGGGATCACAAATCGGCATCGAACCCAGTTAAGCTGAGATTTCGAGAAAGGCGAAACGAAGAACACGTATAGTGTGGTAGTGAACACGTTAGCCACCGGAAAGGGTAATAACGAAATTCGTTCCCAGCCGCAAACATCTATGGTCAGGAGTATATAAGCATCGTTGTGGAGTATATGGTTATCTATTGTTTTTTGGGATTACTGGAAAAGTTATTTGCTTTGCAGTTTTCAATAGTTTGAAAGTTATCTGAAATATAATAACAGTTCGAGTTTTTGGATAAAAGCCTTAAGTTTAAGGTTGTAGTCTAAGAACAAGAACCAACTGTTCCATCCTGCAACATTCTAGGGGTATTTTAAATCACCGCTGTTATTTGCACGTAGGGGCGCATGTTGCGCAGTGGTCCTAGGCGCCCTGCAATGCACATGGGATCAATACCGAGCCCCACGCCCACTAAGCCTTCCAACCCTCCAGGGTCGACGGAGTGGTACCAGATTTCTCTCGAAGGATAGCAGCATTGGCCTGACACATCGGCAAGCCACCGCGAATCATTCTTAAGTTCAGATATGCATTTAGTGATCTCCAACAGTGCTTAGTGAGATCGAATACAAAGCACATTCTTCAGGGATTGATCATTGCCGTGAGCTGTAGAGGTTTTGCTGTAATTCCGAGAACGAATCAGAAGAAGAAGCGCCTCACATTTATTCCTAAGCTCACCTAGTGGTTCAATTAATTTCTAATTTTTATCTTATATATTTAGTTTCTAATGTTTTTTCTGTGCATTTTCCCACTTCATCAGTTGACTGGGCAACTGAGAGAATGGGTGGGTGGTGGGTAGTCTATAGAACAGGAGAAGAACTCATGATAGCGTAGTGTTGTAATCTATTGAATTTACATACACATAGAGGGTGTTAGCACTTCAAATTTATATCAGTCTATTTTTTCACACGGCTTTCTAATCTTTATAGCACGGATTCATTTATAGCATAGGACTTAAGCGAAAAAATAGTTTATTCTTTTAAAACACAGAGGATTTCCGTCAACCTGCACTAATTTTCGTAGTTAGTTAGTTAATGAGTTTCTTAGCTCGTAAGATTTAGGGGGAAATTCCTAATCACTTTGAAAATAAATAGCAATTATGTTCCCATCTTACATCCTCGCGTGCTGCGCAGTGGTCGGAAGAGCCCTGCAACACACACGGGGAATCGATCTCTGTGCCCATGGCCCATCAAACCTTTCATCCCTCCGGGTTCAGCAAATTGGTACCAAACTTGTATGGGAGTATAGCAGCAGAGACTTTATGCATCGATAGGCCACCACTAGTCATTGTAAAGGCAGATATGCATTCAATCACCTCTAAGAAATGCTTAATGAAGTCGAAGGCATGACGCATCCCTCAGGGATTGATCTACACCGAAAGCTTTATCCTTTTGTCCTTTTCTTCCTTACATCTTCACATAACTGTTCTCAAGTACAAGTATTTACATAATTGTTTTTGTGACTAGTAAATTTACGCTGTACACCTGTTATAATTCTATTTACTGGAATCTTTCGCTATTTGGAATCTTGCAGTATTAGAGCCGAAAAAATCTTTAGAATTTGTTTTACTGATCTCAAATTCCATGTCTCGAGAATTCTCTGTTGCAGCACCGTTTGCTGATTACTACGGTCGAGCAGAAAGTGTTCATGCTGATGATGATAACAGATTCTCATCATCGTCATCGACATCGATCTCATGTCATTCTTCAAGTTCGTCCGATACCGTCGCATTTGAAAATTCTACTAAAGTCGAACCTCTTTGATTTGATTGATATTTCTGTTTCGATTCTAAGCCTCTATTTGCCAAGATTCTTCTAGAGCATTCGTTTTCCTTGGTGCGATTTTCTCCGCAAGTGTACTCTCCATGTGGATTTAAAAGTTTAGATTTCTTCTTGTTCTTTGAAGTTTATGACTTGGTTATGTTCACGTTTGTGTTATTGAACGGGCTACCGTAGATTATGGTGTCTCAGCTACGCTTCTAGCGAAGGTTACTGTTACTGACTTTCTTTGTACTTTTAACTGCATAATATTTATGAATGTGATGTAACTATAGAAGTATAATGTGGTGTGGTATTTTACGTCGAAACCTGTGTTGAAAAATTGTTGTTTTCTATTCTTTGCGAAAAAATGTATGTATTTATAGCACTCCTAATGGTTTACCGCCTCATCGTGGTTTGCAAGTGGTCCTGAGTGTCGTGCTGCAATGTACAGCGGGGGCAATCGTCCCTCGGCAGAGTCTCCCATGCTGAGGAGTCCGTCGTTTCTACTAGGAATCCCAGCTAAGAGTGAACCAGTACCAGGATCCACCACCGTTTTGGTATGAAACTATTCGCATGTTAGCGAATCTCCCTCTGATTCACAAGAACAGTGACTGCCTGTGGTGGTGACAACTTGGAGCAGAGTTTGGCCGTGCTGACCCTGGAACTCCAGGGAACCACAATGGCTAGACCAGAAAAACTCCGAGAGAGGGAAATTATTCTGGAGCCCGCATACCCAGTGACGACGGACCATCCCAGTATCGAAGTGTTTATGTCAAAATCCCGTATCACATGTAACGATGAGCCGTTTACATGAGTAGATTAAGATGCTGCTATACGAATTGAACCTTCCTTAAGTAAATGTTAGTCTTACTTCATCCGTTGAATTTCAATAGGTTTGATGCTCGCTATAAATCGAGCTCGCTATAAATCGCAATTGGATTAGTGTGATCCTAGCTAAGCTTCCGCATAACAATGTGAAACATCTGAAACAGGGTGATCTTATCGGTGGGCGGACTCACTGCTGCAAATCGTAGTTTAATAGTCAGATCCAGCACCTTGCCACGGTTACGTAATAAATCAGTAATAGGTCGTCTATCCGTATAAAAGTCAAGTAACGGAAACTTTCTGTCTTCCATTTTTTTCAAATGGCTTCGGTGAACAGGAGCGAATTTTATTGATGTACATTCACAAGTGAAGGAGAGAAACGACTACAAGCAAACACAGTGGCTGTATCCGTACTAAGTCTAGGCAACTATACTTATTTACTTGGATACTTGGACGGTCCGTCTTCACGAGATGTGCGGACCACAGCACATCACTATATCAGTAAGATGACCTAGATAGATGTAGATGTAATGTAGGTAGTAGATGTAGTGACCTACATCACTACGCTCATACAAGTCCACCAACAGATAAAGTATGTACGAAATCACGTCTACAAATCCACACAAATTGGCAACTATACTACTTTTCGTTATTTGTTTACAATAACTCAAATGTCGGCATATCTGTACATAATGCTCGCATGAACCTTCTTTCTTGGAATCGGTTCGATCTTCGGGCAACATCCGCAGCAGAACACAGTCAGGACGAAAGCACGCCTAGAAAGTGGTTTCATGGATTGACGAAAAGATAGAGATATCTATGGTACAGTAAGAATGCTTGTTGATGAACGATACAACGCGGCAGGAGCGTAGAGCAGTTATTAAGGGTACTTTACAATACACAGTGTTTAGTTCGATCGAACGATCCGCGCAAATCAAACTCTACATTCTTCCAGAGATGTAAAGTTGTTACCAGATTCGACTAGTGACGGTAAAAATGCGGACTTGAGACCGGACTTGAGTAGTGATGTGCTACGCTCATACAAGTCCACCTACAGATAAAGTGTGCACCAAATCACGTCTACAATGCCATGAATGGCGACCATGGCGTATGCCTAGGTCAACGGTGAACGTTTTATCGTTTTACGCACAGTCTTGATACCTGTAGGGTGGCAGGAAGGCAAGTGTGATGACAGTCATACAGAGAGGGCGATGAAAATGAAAGATGAACTCGACCATCGTGCAGATCTTCTGCACCATTTTTGTCTGGTCACTAGGATTACCCGAGAACGCGACCAGCCAAGCAAATGCGTTCACTGAAATATTCGTTTGCAGGAGATGGACGCAATTTGCATTATAAAAAGCAGAAATATAGAAGAACAACTTGAAACTAGAAAAAAATCGCTCTACTCTTGTTTGTCGATAGTATGGGTATAGGAATGATAGTAGTTTCGCCTAAAGATCACCATTCTAAGAGATCTATTCGACTTCCTTCCGAGTATTCATGAACAGAAAGTAACTTGAGAATTTGGCAATTAATAAACCAATAAACCGCAGACACCTGCGGTCCGGAGTTTTGCAAATATCTCAACATCATTAAAGTTATATTTCGCAATATATACCCTGCCGTTGAAAAGAGTAGGCAGTAAATAATAAGTTAAAACTGTGATTATAACTGCAGCCTCAGCTTAACTGGGTTCGTTGCCGATTTCTGCTCCTCAGATCAATCCCGCTGAGGGGTGATTGCTGATGGCAAAAGACCGATAGAACTAGCTGAGAGACAGGCGAAACGAAGGACCCGGATGGTTTGATGGTGAAGTGAGCTGCTCCCCGGTAAGGACAACAGCGGGTGTTCGTTCCCCACCATAGACACCTGCGGTCCAGAGTTTTTCAAATATTTCAGCAACGTTGTGGTTGTATTTCGCTTAGTAACCTGCCATGAAAATTATAGAGGGCAGAAAACAAAACGTTAAACATTGTGATTTCAACTACAGCCATAGCTTAAGAAAACAAAACGTTAAAACATTGTGATTTCAACTACAGCCATAGCTTAACTGGGTTCTACGCCGATTTGCGCTCCCCAGAACAACCCTCGCTGACGGGTGATTGCTGTGGCAAAAGATCGATAGAACTAGCTGAGAGACAGGCGAAACGAAGGACCCGCATGGTGTGGTGGTGAACGCGTTACTCCCCGGAAGGGATAACAGCGCGTTCGTTCCCCACCATAGACACCTGCAGTCCAGAGTTTTGCAAATATCTCAGCAGCGTTGTGGTT